CCCCAAAACCCCAAAACCCCAAAACCCCATTGAATCAAATTATGATTGAATAACTAGTGTATTATTTTCATTTACAAATAATTAAAATATAATATGACTTTTTTTAATTTACTCAATTTTACTATAATGATAGTAATAAACTAATGCCTCTTAATAGTAATGCGTGCTCAAGTTATTAAAATTCCAGAGCCCGATGACTTTGTTTTGGCAAGTGAAATACGATTTCCTCCTCTTGACATGAAAGATACTTTAAAGGCCTTCTAGAGATTATATTTTCTCCTTCCACTTTAGGGCTCCCCCAATTCTTTTTTGTTTTGAATCTTTCTGGTTGTAGAATGAGATGAGATGTTACTTATCGATTCTAACCTTGAATTTATCGAAGTACTGTCGTGTTTCCGGTGAAGTGGCGGGGGCGGTGGTAGTTTAGAATTGGATAATATGGACTCAACCTTCAGCATAGTTGGATTTTAATTTATTTCATTATTAGGTGTAGACTAAAATTTGCGTTATTAAAATTGAGTCCTTCTTTCTTTTTTCTGCTTTCCTTCTAAAGGAACCAGTTGTATTTTAAAATTCTAGGCAGATCTCACCATCTCAGTTTATTCTTATTAATTATTCTGAATATCCCCCTGTGCTTTATTATAAACATAAGGAAGCTTGAAAAGTTAAGTTTAGGACTATAAAGCTGTATTTTCAGATGATGGATTTTGATTAGTGAGGGTAGAATTTCTCTTATCAGATATACTGTACTTTCTCATCCCTTTTTATTCAATAAAAGATGATATTTTCGGCAATAGAAATTATTGGCTCTGATTAATGTCTAGAGAACAAATTTTTAAGCCATTACTTAGGCCCTTAGCATTTATTAATTCTTTGCATCCATAACGATGCTCTTTGAATTAACTATTAGTAAACTCATTTCTGTCCATTTCAATGCTGATATTCTCTCTTCTTAAATTGCTGTATTTCATGCTAAGATCCTCCTCCTGAATATCAAATTATTATTTTTAGTTTTGTTTTACCAAGATATTATTTGTCACTTTTATCAATCTTCTTATTTCTCTCTTTTGATTAAGTAAGGTACTTATTAAATCAATCTTGGGTGCTTTAGATTGTATTGGTGAAGTATTGTAATAAGATAAATCTTAAAGTTGGCTCATTTTACAGATTTATAAAAAGTTAAGTACAAATGTTTTTGAATAAAAAAACTTTCAAAAATTAATAATATAACTATTCTTTTTAGAATCATTTAAGTGTTCTATCTAAACTTATTGTTATTTATCACTGCAATTACTTAAAGTTTTCTTACGGGGTTTTGGGGTTTTGGGGAGATCGGAAGAGCACAC